TTTTTTATTTTCTCTTTTGTTTTACGATTATTCAATTTAAAATAATTAATCTAAAATTTGTACTTGTAAAAAGTATATATTTCTTTTAAGAGTAAAATATAAAAACAGGTCTCTCTACAAGAAAAAATACAATTAACAAATAAAATAAATGTAGAAAATAAATACACATTATAATAACATTTACACATAAAATAAATCTGAAAATTATGAACTATTTGTTACGTAATATTAGAATTTATACCTTTTTTACAGGTTTTGTCAAAACATATTGAAACTACTTTCGTTATTTTGAAAACGAACCGAATGACATTCTTACCAGTCACAAACACGTAGTAACTTAAACTTCTTAGTAGTCACAAACACGTGACCGCTCGAATTTCGCATAAATGGTGATTCATCTTATATTCGGCGTTCTTCTTTCAAATTTGAGAGAAGGTATTTACCTGCTCGCCTTCACCTGCCTTGAACTCAGGCGGCCTTACCACACATTCAGAGAACAGGAACTACGGTAGGCGCCTCTTAGGAATGCACCTTCCTCGTGCCCGCAGTCTTTTGAATTCTATCTGTACGAATCCATGAATTTCTTGCTTCTTAATCCAACCGACCGGTATTTCGCCATATTATTCACCGCTGACGGAAAAAGAGGTAACACTATTTTTATCTCTTCTTTTTGTTCTTCTCTGCGGGTTCTCACATTCGATATGACACTCGGATATATAGGCGTGAGAAAAATGTAGTCGGGGAAGTGAGGAACAATAGTATACATCTACCTTTTAAGAACTTAAACCCACTATATATTATAATCGCATTGTAGGAATTAATATATACGAAATGTCTGATCTGCATAATTATGTAATTCTAAAAATATTTCCTTTATAACATCTTTTTCATAAAAACCAGTGAATAAGCTATACATTTGTAGCTTAAATAATAAATACTAATTAAAATATTAATTAAACTATGTATTAAGAAAATTAACTAGCTAAATATTAAAATATACATTTATAAACATCAAATAGCTGCAGAATATCAAACATATATTTATAAATAAATTATTATTTTTATATTTAATTTTGTAGAGATTATTTATGTATTTTTTATTCATCCTCACTTTGGGTTACAATTTTACACATATAATTAATCTTACATGCTAACTTTATAAACTAAAAATCTTACCAACTAACGCTTTTACATACCTACTACACTCACAACTAAATCTTATATACTATATAGCTTAACATTTACATGCTTGTAAAGTCCTATTATATACACACATGTACGTTCCTACCGCTATATTTTTTGTATAAGAGATTATTTGTAACACAAATAAAATTTTAAAGAAAATTATTCATATTAATTTATAAAATTAATTTATTTGAAAATTTTTATTAATAAATTTTGATTTTGAAAAATTTTTTGATCATCTTATTAAACCGTACTTACTAGAGTTAATCTTACTAGAGTTGCTATTGCCACCTGTTGTTATATAGTGCAATTAATACGAGTTCTTCTACTTTCCGTACAGATTATGCAAAATATTCTGTATAACTGTTGTGAATGTAGTGATCACACATATAGGAGGGGGAGAAATAAATTTTTTTTCTTAAATATTAAATATAAAGTTTTCTTAGACTAATTTTTTTATATTCAATTTTCAAGATAATTTTCAAATAAATTATACTTAAGTTGAAAATTTTTCCTTTTATTTAATTTACATTTACCTTACTTTGTTATTTAATTATTTTATGATCTTTATTTAAGGAATAAATAAATTTTAATCAGTAAATATTAAAAATATTAAACAACGAATAAAATACAAGAATAAAGAATGTGTATATGGGAAATTACAGTTATTCTCTATGCATCATGTTCATTGTCTTAAAATACTTGCAGCTGCGCTCGACAAACGCATGTGGTGGCGGCGCGGCGGCGATACAATGCGCTGATTGGTCTCGATTAAAATTGACTCGCTTGCGAAATCGTTCGATCCTTGACGATGACGTCAGATATTCGAGAATATTCTTGCATTTATCCGCTGCCGACGTATATATACTTATTTGTAAGTTTGTGTCTAATATTTCGCCGTTGATCTTAAAAAATTCATGTTTATCATTTAAAAAAAACGTTTACGGAAGCCATTGCGTAATAATATGCTAAAGTACAATTGGACGGTTAGGTATCTGTTGCCTCTGTTGACGATAATACATCCGTCAAGTTTTTCCATTGGACAGGATGAAAAAAGTGGACGAAATCCAGTTATGTCAAAGAAAAATTCATAAATCTTGTTGAGATAACTAGGATTTATTTTGACTCTGATAGTTTCTTTGGGAACAAGATAAGGACCATCGGGGCTAATATCATTACTGAATTGCTGAATCATTTCTTGTGCAAAAGATACGAACCAGATGACTCAACAGTTTCTCACAGAAATGCAGACGTATTAGATTTACAATTAAATATAATCCAAATAGCAGGACATTTTTATATCAATCGTAAAAATTTAATTTAATTTAACAAAAATTTGAATTTTTTGTTTAATTAATTTATTTACTTAAGTTAATTAATTGCACGTGAATTAATTTTACCATAAAATAGTAATTAGATTTGTCTTATGATTTTAATTAATCTACTAATAAAATACATGTAGTAAATTTTTTAAATAAAACATTCTTAAAACATTATTGTATTAAATTAATATTTATTATGTGTTCCATATATGTATAATAATTGATTGCACACATAAAATTGAAAAATAGATGGCGAATTATTAAATTTGTAGTGAAATTGTATTTATTGTAAATTATTTTTGTACAATTTAAATTTTAATTTCTCAGCGTACTTTTCTATCTCTCAGTACAAATTTTTGGACGTATAATATACATATGTTAATACAAGGCAGTTTAAAAACTTATCGTGAATATTTCTTGAAAGAAATAACAAAATTATCGTAGAGGCCGTGACCTTTCTGAAGATAATAATAAACTCGAAAAGAATCCACAACGGAAGTGTGATGCGATGGGAAAACGAAACAAACGGGAATATTTCGTGAATAAGTCATGACGCGAAATATTTCCGTTTCCTTGTGCATTATGAAAATCATGACGGAAGAAAAAAAGCCAAATAAATGCTGTGGTATGGTATAATTTCGTATGCATAAGTTTTACATTAGCTTAATATCTTACTATTCATTGCATGTAAAAGTTTTACTAGATGTATTTTAACTAAAATAATATTACTGCGATAATTTAATAATATAATTTAAAAACAATACAATCAAATACAATGTAACACATTATAATATAATATATAATTTAAAACTAGACGTCACATATTTTAATAAATAAAAGATAAACAAATAATAAAAAAAAATACCATGCCCACATTCGTTACACTCATAATTACAATAATTAATCTCATAAATTTGTATTAAAAAACATATAAGCATATAATATAAAGATTTGTCATCGCAGAAACTGTAAGTTTATTTTAACTCATACATTTTTTAACATGTTAAATTCTTCTTTATGCGCGTTTGTATGATTAGCGTTTTTAACATTTTAACATTTTAACTCTTTTGATTACTTTTTCGATTACATAATGCGTTTTAACTTTTACACCAATAACTCAATTATTTATTCTAATTTATTACATACAACTATTATGTTAAAAACACCTATATACCTAATGGATTTCGCGTTTTAAATCAACATCGGAATTATTATCAAAAATTATTGTATTTGCGCACTGAAGAAAACCAAATCCGATGGTTGAAACATTTGCGGTTTTTATGCACACACACATCATACTAGAAAGTATAAATGTTAATCATGACGCATTAACATCTACCGCGTTGGTAAATAGGCTATTATTTCTTCTTCTTTTTATTAATTAATTTTTAAAATATTTTTATTTTATTATTGTGTGATATAAAGTCTTCAGTTTATGTACAAAAAAAATTTTCAAAATGGTACAAGGTACCTAAAAATTCAAACTGATCACATTGATCCGAACTGGAATAGTTACATGATATATAACATATCATTTTTAATGCTAGAAATGAGTAAAAACAGTATTAATGTCCTAATGTTTATTTAAAATTAAACAAAACCTTAATGTTTCTTGTTATTTATTTCTTTTATGATTTTTAGTTTGCTTACTTTTTCTTCCCGTCCAAGCAACACAGCTACATTTAATAAATGTTTAAAAAACGTTTACCCGATATGTTTTTATAATGTATAAAAGTACGTTTATTAAATAGTCGAAATGTCTCGCATAAAAACGGTATTTTAAACTAGTAAAAAAAACGTTAAAATGGACGTTATAAAATAGTAAAAAAAACGTTTAAATGAACGTATAAAAATATGTCTAAAAACCTTTTTATCATAAATTAAATGTACATTTAAATCTTTTTTGTATAGATTTAAAAAATGTCGATAATTTTTAATAAAATATTTTATTAAAATAATTGTTTAATTAATACAATTACAAATAAAATGTAAAATTTTGTAGGGCAAATTATGCATATATAATAAAAAAATAAAATGTAATCACAAAAAAGAGAAGATATTAATCACTAAAATAAAGAAAGTTATGCTGAATTCTAAAATGGATTTGATTCTTATATTATTTTATGTACGACTTTGATAACAAAATAAAAATATATGTGTATTTTTAAAATATGAATAAAAGAAATGACGAAGAATTATATTACATAATTCTAATCTTAGCTTGTTTCAGTCGATCTTAATGAAGTTAGATTCAATTTATTGTGTTAACATTGAAAAAAATTGCTTAATGCAGAGAATCTAATAAAAAAAATAAATGTAATCACAAAACAAAGATGTCGTTGAAATAAAAAAAATGTTATAGCACTCATGTAAAGCTCCATTTCAGAATTCATTATTATTAATTATTTATTTTTAACACTATTATTTCATGTCGTATAACTTTTATAATAAAATAAAAATATATGTTTAATATATGTATGCCTTTAAAATATGAATAAAGGAAATGATTATAAAATATGACATAACTCTAGTCTTGGCTTGGTTCAACCAATAATCGTGACATAACTCTAGTCTTGGCTTGTTTCAACCAATCTTTAATGGCATCTTCAATTACTTGTGTTGACTCTGAAGAAATCGCTTTATGCACAAAATCTAGAAAAAGGTAAATTAATAAATTAAATTAAGTACAATAAAAGAATAAAATTAAGTCATAAAGCACAAAATTTAATTATACAATAAGGTATATACTCTACTATACAGGGTGCCCCAAAATACTTTTGTCATTAAAATGTCATATTTCTGACTCAATTCTGAGAAGATTTTTCCTTTACAAAAATTTTATCCGAAGCTTAGTTTTCAAATTATAACAAGAAATAGTTAGCGAATTATGGGCCGCGTATGGAAGGTAGACAGGGGCGCGCAACTTACTGTCGGACACAGGCGGTACGGGAGGCCCACGCGACCAGCTGACTGCTA